AAATCATTATCGATCCAATCGCATAAGTTCTGAAAATCAATATCAATAGGTTGAAATCTCTTAATCCTCGAAAGGAAATGGAAAGGGCTACAAGTTTTGGTCAGCAAATTTCTATTCTTTCGGACACTAAAATGAGCGTTCTTAGCTCTTAATACACCAAAATGAGAGAATAAATAGGTGTTCAATATCAAATGGTTGAGAGTTATCTTTGAACAAATATTGCCTTATACTTATCTCAGATTAATAAAAAAAACCAAGGGTCGATAAATTAAACGGGTTGGATAAAATGAAACGATCTGGATAAAAATGAAATATCACCATTTTTAAAAGAAAAAATGTAGTAAAAATCGACTATTACACTTATATATATTATTGAGTAATAATAAATTAACTGAAAGAAGACAACTCGAATACAATTACCACAGCTACAAACCACGGGCGACGTACACTGCACAAAGAATTTTACAGATTTATTGACAAATAAAAGAAAACACAAACATGATGCAATCCTTACATACATTCAGTGTCTGCAAGAGCAGTTTGAGTGAGATGATTGATGTCTGGGCCATCACATCACATGGAGGAAGCATCTGGACATGGAGGAATACATATATCAGTAATCCCTTCCAGCATCATAACTACAGTATTTATTGAAGGACGAAGAGCTGGTTCGTCTTGAATGCATCAGAGTGCCACCATCACCATTCTTTCCAAGCTTTCCTTGTCCACTTGTTCATCACCCACAAGCTTATCCACCTCTCTTTCAACCAAGCATCTATACACCAGTCTCGACAGAATGATCTCCTCTGGTTTTGACACATTGGTGTCCAAGTTTCGTCGGCAAAACACCGTTTCCAGTAGCACGATTCCGAAACTGTAAATGTCGGCCTTCACCGAGATCGGAGTGTTTCTATTCCATTCTGGTGCCATGTACCCTCTAGTTCCCCTCACTACTGTGAATGTCCTTGTATGATCTCCCATCAACAGTTTTGCCAGCCCGAAGTCTGAAATTTTAGCTCTCCATGAATCATCCATCAATATGTTTTGCGGCTTTATATCACAGTGAATGATTGGTGTCTCACATTCCTCATGTAAGTAGAGGAGTCCTCTAGCAACATCTAGGGCTACTCTCCTTCTTTCATTCCAAGATGGGCGCCTTGTTGACTTGAAAAATAGGTCTGCAAGGGACCCATTGCCCATGTACTCATACACCAAAAGCCTCTTGGAATCCTCGACACAGTATCCCAATAGTCGAACTAAATTTCTGTGGTGAGCTCTACCGATTGCTCTTGTTTCTGCTTGGAACTCTTTTTCACCTTCTTCCACTAACTTCTCCAGTCTCTTCACGGCGATCGGCTTTCTTCCTCGGTCTAGAGTTCCTTTGTAGACTGCTCCAAACGATCCCTTACCCAACTCTTGTTTAAATCCATTTGTGGCTCTCTTGAGTTCCTTGTATGAAAACGACGTCAACATAAGCTCTCTGGCTAGGCCCAAATCTCCCAATTCCAGCAGCCTTTTGTATCTTAGAACTCGAAATTTATAGATGAATACACCAGAGGCTGTAAGAAAAGCACATGAACATGCAACGAGAATGGAAGATAAAACAAGAATCTGCACGACCGAAATTTCCCGTTTGATTAGGAACTTTAAATCAGGGGAAGCAGTGTCGTTATTTGCTTCAAGGCATATGATTCCCACCTTCAATAAAACAGTGGAATTCATTTGAGCATCGATATCTCGTAGCAAATACCTGAGTGGAAGCTTTTGTTTCTTGCAAACTCCATCGAACTGCGCTGCCTCGCAATTGCAGTCTTCCAGACATGTTCGGATGCAGGCATCCTTGCTCAATCGCTCTTTACTGTAAAATCTACCCGAAGTCCATTCTATACCTTGCATTGAGGTGATGTTATAAAGGGGTATATTGGCCTTCCCTCCTTTGCAGTGTGCTTCCGAATAATTTCTCTTGCAGCCGATGGTGTTCTGATTAGGATCGATAAAATCAGTCCCGGGAAGGCATGCACAGTAAGGCCGGTTATCATTGAAGGTGCAATAGCTGTTGAAACCGCAAAAGCCTTTGATTTTACAGGAATTTACCAACGCACGCAACATTGCGTAAGTTTGGAATCCACCATTTGGCTCAAACACATGAGCATATAACCGGAAATTCCCATCAACATCAAGGCTTGCACTGTAAACAATACTCTTGTTGTTGTTGCTGCTGCTCTCGGTGAAGTCACTGTAGCTCTCCTCTTGATTAGGTAATTGAATTGTGCTGTAGACGGACGAATCAAAGTTGTTGATGAGTTGTAGGACGCCTGTCGAGTTAAGGCGAAGCGACGAATTCGTCTTAAAAGTATCTGTGCTCCAGTAGGCAGTTGTAGGAGAATCTTCGGATTCTAGAGGGTATAGAACAAGATTCCCATCGTTTTGCATACTGAGATGATACCTTCCAGCTGAGGGATCATTTTCTGATAAACTGGAGATCAACTGACTATTAGTTAGTAGACTCTGACCACCTAGAATGGTATCAGTAGGATGCTGGAAACTCTCCCAAATGATATGATTATCTTTGTTGTAGATAACGAAATTGCCTGAATCTAGCATGGAGGCAGAGTAGGCATCCGAGTGGTTTCCATTAGCAATAAACATCTCTCCGCTCTCAGCCGTCGAAACAATCACTCCTTTCTCATTTAACTTCAGAGTAGCATCTGAAGTGAAGGGCGGATCATCACGGTTTGTTGTCCATATTACTTTGTTAGCCTTCTTTCCATTGCCGTCCAACCAAACTCCAACATAAAGGCCATTGCCTCGATTGTAAAAACCGAACGCAAAGCGACGAGAAGGCGAAGTCCATGAGGTTGTTTGAGTGGCCGAGGAAAGAGAAGCTCCCAACGGGATGATGCAGCTTGACTGCTGCACACACAGAGAAGAAAGGAGCAAAAGAAGAGCCGACACCAAGGCCATGGGAAATAATTTGTCTCTTCTAATTTGGAACTGGTACAAATAGATGGCTGAGGTCTCGAATAAGAGTTTTGTATGGAAAAAGATTGGAAACAGCACTGAGTTTACTGTATATTAAGTCTTTTTTACTCTTTCCAACTAATTCGTAGGACCAACAAACGTGGAAATATTTACCTGCTAGCTCTTGCGCACCGCACACTCAGTTATTTCAGGTCTACTCACACAATTATGGAACTAATTATTTATAGCCTAAAAATAATTTAATTATTTACATAAATATTGTAAAAGTATAACAATTTAAATAGTTTAATTTTAATAAAAGTTAAAAAAAGGGTGCAATTTTCTTATTACTATATAGGGTAAACTATACCATTGACTATCTAATTATTGTCTCTTTTCATTTTCACCACCATTTTTTATTTTTTTAAAATATATTTTATTTTTTATCTTAACTTATTAAATATATATTATTCTTATCTTAACTAAAAAAATATGTTTTATTTTTATCTTAACTAAAAAATATATTTTAATCTTATCTTAACTTAAAAATATATATTTTATTTTTATCTTAACTTTTAAAAATATATTTAATTTTTATCTTAACTTATTACATATATTATATTATTAATTTAAATTATTAAATATAATCTATTCTTACCTTAAATTATTAAGTATTATTTATTATTATTTTAACTTAAAACGTATATTTTATTCTTATTTTAATTTAAAAATATATTTTATTTTTATCTTAATTAAAAAAGATATATTTTATTTTTATCTTAATTTTAAAATATTATAAGAATAAAAAATAAATATTTAAATAGTATCTTTCCACTTATAATTTTTTTTCTATAAGCTTACTTAAGTTTATAGTTTGAGCGTGATATTTGTTTAAATATATATTTTATAACACCCTCAATCCAATTTAAATAAAAATGTCACAAAATTAAGACGAAACCAAACAAGAAGTAGAATCATGAATATCAATCATTTTATCCTTAATTCTCATTCAATTTCTCTTACTAACAAATTATTAAGCATTCTTAACTTAAAATCATGTCTGGGGACTAAATTGAATTATTTAAAAAGTTCAATGACTTATTTGTAATTAACACAACTTGAATATTTCCATTCATCATATGATATTAGGACTCATTCAAGGAATGATGAAATTTTTTGCGCGTAACCAAATAGATGGGTGAGGTCTCCAATGAGTTTTCTATGGAAAAAGATTGGCAACAGCTCTGGGTTGACCGACCGGATATTAAGTCTGTTCTCCTCTTTCCATTTAATTGATAGGACCAACAAATATGTGGAAGTGTTTAGCACTTCGTTGCGAGAGAACAACTTTGCTATTGCTATCTCTTGCACCACACAATTACTAACATAAAATTATTTATAGCATAAAATAAATTTATCATTAACATAAATATTATAATAGTATAACAATTTAAATAGTGTAATCTTAATAAAAAGTTAGAAAAAATAGTGTAATTTTTTTTTTTTGGTAAAATAAAAGTTTAGGTCAGGGTGGCTCCCCAGTCCACGGGCATGACATATCTAAAACTCAATTGAGATTTATATAGGAATTTACAGATTGCCCACCACTTTGCCTCACAAGCTCAAATTCCTGAATCACAAGCTCAAATTCCTGAATCCCAACCACTTGTACCAATATTCATTGGCAATGTAATTTCTATATTATTATATATATTTCATGAAAGACATTATATTATTGTTTTCTCTTTTGTAACTATTATAAATATAATTTACTAGAGTTTATCTCTTAGTTTACATTACATTCTTCAACTATATTAAATAAAATAACTCATTGAGTGATATCAGTAGTAGAATGTAGTGTTATTTTTGTTAAAAGAGTCATGTTCAAGCAGTTGCGTCCATAAGGTGTATAAATGTTATCATTGGCTAACAAAAATTTTGAACATATATTATTTTATAATCACCCCAAACAATTAGAAAAAACATCATACATTACATGAAAATCATAATTAAGACAAGTACTAAACCAAATAACAACATTAGCTAAGTAGTAACAAGGGAAGTGATGGAGATGGAGGGATGGGTACATTCATTGTTCCTTCCAGCATCAAGGTCACACTCTTCATCAGTGGACGCAAAGTTGGATCATCTTGAATGCACCACAGCCCCACCTTCACAAACATTTCCACCATTCTCATGTCCACCTCTTCTTCACCTTCCACAAGCTTGTTCAACTCTCCCCCAACAAAGCAATTGTATACCCATGTTGAAAGCAGTATCTCGTCTGCACTACAAACTTGTACTTCTATGTTGCTTCTGCAACATATGATCTCCAATAGTATCACTCCAAAACTGTATATATCAACTTTTTTCGATACCGATGCACTGCTTTGTCGTTCGGGTGCTGAGTACCATTCTGTCCCATTGGTCCCAGTGGTACTTCTTGCATGATTAGGCCTCAATAACTTTGCAAATCCGAAATCCGAGATCTTTGCAGTCAATGAATCATCCAATAGTATGTTGTGGGGCTTGAGGTTGCAATGGATGATGCACGCCTCACACTCTTCATGTAAATAAAGAATACCTTTAGCCATGTCCAATGCAATTCTGGTTCTCTCTTTCCAAACTGGGCGTCCATTCATGTTGAATAGAAAGTCTGCCAGTGAGCCATTGCTCAAGTATTCATAAACAAGGAGCTTCTTTGAATCCTCCACACAAAAACCGAGCAATCGAACCAAGTTCCTGTGGTTAGTTCTTCCGATGACAATCATCTCGGTTCGAATACGATCCGTTTCTCCTTCGTTAACTTTCGGCAATCTCTTGACCACAATACTTTTACCATCCCCTGGCAAAATTCCTTTATAAACTGCTCCGAACGAGCCTCTACCTAACTCATCATCGAAGCAATGTGTTGCTTCATCTAGCTTATTGAAAGTGAATGATCGTAGTGTAAACTGCTCGGTTAAAACTCGACTTGTATTTTCTGAAAGCTTCTCGTAACTTTTGACTCTATGTCTGTATAGCAAGAAGCTGCACAACGCCATCATGAAAGACAAGCTTGCAACGGAACCCAGACTTAATCCCATGGTTAAAATCAGGCTTCGGTTTGATTCGTTTATCAATGTTGGCCTGATTTCAGATGAGGAACCGACAATCACCTTGATGAAGGCTGTGGTGTTTATATTTTCATGTCTTTTACCATATTTGAGCGGTAGTCTAAACATGTTGCAGTTTGGGATAGAATAGAGAACCCCACCATGATGAAAGATCTCTATAGAAGGAAAAATGAATATTGATTCTTGATGAATTCAAGTTACATAGCAGTTCTTTATATACAAGAATTAGTAACTGTTTAACAGCTATAACAGCTGTAACAGAAAGCAGTTATACTGCAAACTAACATCAGCAGATAAGCAATGCTAAGTTGAACTACGCTGCATGCTCGTGTATGCTATTCTCTTATCCAATATGCTTACTGCTTCTTCCATCTTCAACTTCTTTTAATGAAATGACACCCAACCTTTGTCTGAATGTATGAAAATAGTCTTTTGATAGTGCCTTGGTGAAGCCATCAACTATTTGATTCGAGGAAGGGACATAGTTTATCTTCAATTTGTTTGCTGCCACCTTTTCCCTTACGAAATACACATCCAACTCCACATGTTTAGTTTTAGAGTGATAAATTGGATTTGCACTCATCGAAATTACACTTGAATTATCACTCCAGATTACAGGTGTGCCTTGCAGCTTAATTCCCATGCTGTCAAGTAATGTGGCTACCCATGTAGCATCAGAGGATGCATCAACTAAGCTTCTATACTCAGCTTCAGTTGTAGATCTGGACACTGTCTTCTGCTTCTTGGAACTCCATGTGATTATATTACCAACAAGATATACGCAATTGCCTGAGATTGATCTTCGATCATCCACAATACTTGCCCAATCAACATCTGCAAATGCAAGAAGCTGAAAAGGCAACTCCTTTTTAGATAGAACAAGTCCATAGTCTAGGGTGCCATTTAAATATCTGAGTATACGTTTCACAGCAGACAAATGTTGCTCACATGGTGCATGCATAAACTGTGCCAGCTTATTGACACTATACGCTATGTCTGACCTTGTGTGACATGCATATAACAACGATCCTACAAGACTCCTATACTGCTTTGGATATTTGAGTGGACTGCCAGCTTCTCTGTTCAGCTTGAGCGATTAGACCATTGGCTTGGGCATCGATGAAGCACTGCTCATTTGTGCTTTATCCAACAATTCCATCACATACTTCCTTTGACTCAAGAATATGCTGTCGCCTACATATTTAACTTCAATTCCAAGAAAGAAACTAAGCTGCCCCAAGTCTTTTAGAGAAAATTTCTCTCCAAGCAGGTTAACAACCTCTTCAACTTTGCAACTCATACCGCCAGTAACAATTATGTCATCCACATATACTAGAACATAGACTACATATTCTTCTTTTTTCATTACAAACAACGAGTAATCAGCAAGTGATGCTTCAAAGCCAATACGCACCAAGTATTCCTTAAGCTTAACATACCAGTTTCGAGGGGCTTGCCTTAGTCCATATAAAGCTTTATTTAACTTACACACTAAGAGAGTTCCATCTAAATCAACCTCTTCAAACCCTTCAGGCTGTTGCATATATACTTCTTCCTGCAAATCTCCATTTAAAAACGCATTATTTATATCTACCTGCCTCAAGCACCACTTCTTTTGAACAACTACAGCAAGTATTACATTGATCATGGAGGATTTAGCTACTGAACTAAAAGTATCCTGAAAATCTTGGTCAGGGATTTGAGAAAAGCCCCTAGCCACTAATCTGGCTTTGTACCTTTGTAGTGTGCCATCAGCATTTCTCTTTATTTTAAACAACCATTTGCATCCAACTGGGAGTCTGCCCTCTGGTAGTCTTACCAATGTCCATGTGTTGTTTCTGACCAAGGCATCAATTCTTCTTGAACAACAGTTCTCCATTTAACAGACTTAAATGCAACATGAACCAAACGTGGTTCTTCTTCATCATCATCTTGCACACTCAGTCTTGCTTCTAGTTATCATATGATGCCCTTGTACTCTACTGGAGCTTGGTTTAACTTCTAAGTCTGACTGAGTATAATGTTCAGCATTTACATGTTGCTCTATTTCAGTCTCTTCAGCAACATTGTTAGTTACGTTATGCTGGACCGAACTTGTATCTTCAGCTTCAACAGACTGGTTCATCAGTCTATATTCAGAACATTGAACAGAACTGCCTTCAGGTAGTTGAGTATTAACCTGTAAATTCTGTCCTAAGTGTATGTAATCATCTGCTCGGGCACACACTCTATGTGCACCATTAATTACATCCAGCTTTCGAGGGAGCATCTGACTCTTGTTGGATGCCTTTTCACTATTTCCTGCAAAGGGAAAACAAGATTCATCAAAAACCACATGCCTAGAGATGTAAATTTTTCCACTTGATGCCAAACATTGATATCCTTTGTGATGTGCACTGTAGCCAAGGAATGTGCACGGTTGATATCTGAAGTCCAGCTTATGTTGCTGAAACATTCGAAGATGTGGGAAGCGCCTGTACCCAAAAACACGTATATTACTGTAATCTGGTTGCTTGTTGTAAAGAGCCTCAAATGGTGACTTGCCATGTAAGACCTTAGTGGGTAACCGGTTTATAAGATACACAACTGTACTCACTGCATATGACCATAACTTTAAAGGTAATGAGGCTTGTGCCATTAAGACTAATGCAGATTCAATCACATGCCTATGCTTTCGCTCCACCACACCGTTTTGCTCCGAGGTATGAGGGCAAGATAAACGATGGTGGATTCCCATATTTGCCAACATTGCTGTTAACGGCCTGTACTCTCCACCCCAGTCAGTTTGTAGCTCCCTTATCTCAGTTTCGAATTGAGTTTTCACAAAGGCATGAAACAGCTGAAATGCATGCATTGTTTGGTCCTTGTTTTTGAGTAAATATATCCAACAATGCCTTGTACACACATCCACAAAGGACACATAATACCTGAAACCGTTCGAGATTATGTGCGAAGGTCCCCATAGATCAGAAAATACTAACTGAAAAGGTTTGTCATACACGGTGGTTGACTCATGAAATGACATTTTATGGCTTTTCCCCATTCGACAGCTACACAAACATTTGAACATTCTTTATTAAATGCTGAGGCAATATTGACCCCAATTTGTTTACAAACTTGCATCAATGATGCATGAGCAGGATGCCCAAGCCTTTGATGCCACAAGTCATATGTGTTTATGCTAGTGGCTACATTTACTATTATTGAATTCGACTCCTTGTTACAAGACGTATGATCAGTAGCAAACTGATATAAACCAGCAGTCTCACATCCTTGCAACAACACATCTCTAGTCTTTTCATCCTTCACTAGGCAGTGACTTGCATGAAACTCAAAAAATACTCCATTCTCTCTAGCAAACTTAGAGACAGATAAAAGATTCTTAGTTACATCAGGAACATGCAGAAGATTATTAATGTAAAGTGCTCGAGACCTGGTTTGAATAAGAGATGAACCAGTCTTATATATATCTAGATTCTGGCCATTTCCCACAACCAACTTACCTGTTCCAGAATAGTCAGAACCATTGTTAAGTTTGGAGCTGTCTGGGGTGATATGATGAGTAGCACCGGAGTCTATAATCCATTTATCCGAGCTATCAGGTGCTGAAGATGTGTTCTATACTAGGGTACATGCATTATTACTACAAGTGTAGCAATCACTTTCAAAGTTAGTTACCTGTGTATTGTAAGACTCATGCTTATCAGCCAAGACTCCAGAAAATGACTGATCAAACCGATGCCAACATCGATCCACGGTGTGTCTTATCTTTCCACACAATTGACACTGCACTCTAGCTCTGCCACGGCCTCGCGTACCTGTTCGACCACGAGAGTACTGCTGTGACATTCTCTCATTTCCAGTGTACTGCTGATCAGCAAACTGATTAGAGAATTTCCTTTGATTGTTGTTCTGCACATGTGCAATATTGGCACTAAGAAATGGTTGAGACTGAACTTGAAAGCTTTTAATCTGAGCTTCTGCATCAATTAGTATAGACTGTACTCCATCCACCGTGAGAGCATCCTTGCTTGCTGTAATAACAACAACAAAAGGTTGATATTCAAGTGGAAGTCCATTCAGAATTGTAGCTACCTGATCAATATCAGATATAACACTGCTACATGCTGCTAAAGCGTCACATACTTCTTTGATTGAAGTGAGATATGATCGCATGTTCTCATCTCCTTTCTTGATTGATCGTAACTTACAATGCAAGCTCGTTATGCTGGTAGTCGACCGGTTTGAAAAGAATTTAAGGACTGTAGCCCATACCTCAGCATCAGTTTCAGCCCCAACGAACTGTGGAAGTAGGTGATCACTGATGGAGGATAATAGCCATGAGGCTAAGGTACTATCTTGTGCCACAAACACATCATACTCTTCATTGAGTACAAGGTTGCCATCTGCATCAAGTGTTCTTGCAGGCGGGGGGCTAAGATCACCGGTGAGCAGTCTCTCAAGTCGATGACTTCAAACTGTTAAGAGGACCTGTTGCTTCCATCGAAGGAAATTCATTTCATCGAGCATGATGTTTACACGTTTATTAGTAAACACCTTGCTAGACCTTAATACTTATGAACCTCCAAGAGTATTTCCAGAACCGCCAGATGCCATGACACCTGTTCTCGCAAGACAAAAACAGAATTCTTGCAAGACGAATTACGCAACAAAAACGGAAATGAAGCTCATCCCAGAACCAACTGAGCGATTGATACCATGATGAAAGATCTCTATAGAAGGAAAAATGAATATTAATTCTTGATGAATTCAAGTTACATAGCAGTTCTTTATATACAAGAATTAGTAACTGTTTAACAGCTATAACAACTGTAACAGAAAGCAGTTATACTGCAAACTAACATCAGCAGATAAGCAATGCTAAGCTGAACTACGCTGCATGCTCGTGTATGCTATGCTCTTATCCAATACACCACAGGAGCATTCCTCCTCGCAAGCTTTCTTACACTCTTCCTTGTCCAAATTATGCTTCACAGAATAAGGATCACCAGCCCACTCCATATTCTCCAGCGTAGTGATGTTGTACTGTATCAATAGATCTTTCCTTGACTCGCACCCATCCACATTAAAATTCTGAGAGCAGCTCGGGATTTTGGTGTTCTCTAAGGTGAAACCAGGATAGCAATAGCACCCGAAATAGTCACCCTTACTGGAGCAGTAGCTGTTCAACCCACAGTGACCATTAACATCACATGCATCATCCACATTCTGCCAAATGTTTGAGATGGTATTTTTTCAAGTTGATGGGAGTACAGTCTGAAAATTCCGTTAGGATCAAGGCTTGCTCTATAGATGATCATCGTTTGGTTCCCAGATGTAGAGCCATTCGCCACAAGCCTTTCTCGGTAGTGATCTGATTCTGAAGACATTGTTAGAACGCCTCTCGTGTTGAGATTTAACACAGAGAAAGGATAGCCATTAGTACGAGTAGACCAGTATGCGTCATTAGTATCAAGTTCGGCAGAATTATTTACATAGGCTACAAGGTTACCATCAGTCTGCATGCTCAGCAAAAACTGGCCACCGGCGTGGTTTGATCTTGACACACTGGAAATCAACTGGTTATGATCTCTTCTTAAATTCTGGCGACCGGCGTAGTTTGATCTTGACACACCGGAAATCAACCGGTTATGATCTCTTCTTAAATTCTGGTCACGGGCGTAGTTTGATCTTGACACTCTGGAAATCAACTGGTCACTTCTTAAATTCTGGCCTCCTAAGATTGTGTCGGTCGGGACATCAAAGCTCTCCCAAACAACAGACCTGTTCTGGTAGAGCTCGAAATTCCCCATGTCCAGCATACAAGCTGAATCAACAGACCCCGAGCTGGAAGTGTTCGCAATTATTTTCTGTGCACCGTTCTCGGTCCTCAAAAGCAACGTGCCTTCTGCTGTGAACTGCAAAGTAGAACTAGCGGAGACCGGCCGATCATCCCGATTT